TTATACACAATAATATTAAAATGGACTTCCAAATTAGAATTCTTTTCTAATATACAATGATGATTTTCATATAATTCAAATTGAAATCCATATTACCTTAGAAAAGAATTTCAATCGAATCATTACAACTGTATGTGCAATAAATTTACTACTCGTATCAAACAAAGAAATGGAAAAATTACGCTAAGAAGGGCATGGTTAGTCGCTTTTTATTTTTAATCGTGAATCTTGTTGAATATCACGCATGAATGATGGTTTATTTTAAAATATTAGAGAAGAAGATGGAAGTATGGTTTAACTATAAAAATTTTCGAAGAATTCCAATTTGGATTTCGTCTTACGCGTCATTAATAAAGCAAATTCTAAAAATAGTTTTGACAATATCTTATTCTACACATATATATTGTCATTACTTTAATTTATACTAACTAGGTCCAATACCTACGCGCACTTTCTATTTCTTTATCGAATATCATTCCGAAATGGGGACGTTTAAACTCCATCATTCTCAATGATGATGCATGAAACAAAGAAATAAATCTTCTTATAATGTCTATATATGGTCCTTGTTCTGATATAGAATACGCGTCATTTTCACAAAGACATTCTGCGCATAAATAAACATATATATAAGCTACATGCAAAAAACCCTCAATGAACAACTACAAAACGAAGACATGGATGCCGGCAAAAAACTTATCATCATTAATTCTTCCTTTAAATTTTTAATCGAAGATTTATTTAATAAACATGTCATGTTTGACAAACCTCCAGTCGAAACAATTAAAGGAATTTTACGAACTAACAAATTTACCAGAACGCTCTTTATGGATATGGTCCAGAAAAAATTTATCGAAATCCTCGGTTATAATCCTGGAATCAGTTTTTTCACGCTACTTCGATATTGGATCAGAAGTAACGAAAATTATTATGTATTCAGTTGTAAAGTAAAAAATAAATATTTAAGTAGAGATATTCATCATATTCTCGAAAGAATCACCTTGAAAAGTTCATTCTTTTATTTCAAACACTGCCTTTGTGGAATCGAAAGAAGCATGCAAACAAAAAATAATTGGGTAAAATCAAAATGCAGAAGCAATTTTTTGTGTTTAAATTATGTGGGATACGGATATTATGATAAAGAATATTATATATTAAAAAAATTTAGAAGAAATTTAATAAGAGCTAATAGAAACGAAAAGTCTGAAGAAATATGCAAACATATAATCAAAAAATTAAACACAATTTTATTCAAAGAAAATTGATTTTATCATGTATCGGTTCTAAACATCTAACAAAATAAACTATATCTAGTGATGGTAACAATTAATTTAAGAGTAAAAATGGTTTGAGAGAATAAGTGATGACAAATTATGTTCTGATTCGGGCCAAATTCACACTCTAATAATTATAGAATTTTGAGCAAAATAAGTATAATTTCGGCAAATTAGGTGTAATTTCGGGCAAAATTAAAATATAAATTTAGGCTAAATAAAATATAATTCCAAGCATAAGTATAATTCTGGTCAAAATTGAGTATAATTTTATGCAAAATTAAAAAAAAATTCAATCAAAATTAAGTATGATTTATTAAGTTAATTCCAGGAAAAATTAAAATATAAATTATATATATTTTAATTTACCCGGAATTATATATTAATTTGCCTGGAATTATACCTAATTTAACCTGGAATTAATTGGCCTGAATTTATATTTTAATTTTGCCTGGAATTATACCTAATTTTATCCCGGCATAAAATTATACTTAGGGTTGTTATAATTTACAGTAAGTTATCTTAACTTACGTAACAGGTAACGTGTCACACTAATCTAATGCTGGCAAAAAATTCTTAAAGCTAGCCCGCTTTAGCATTATATATTAGTAACTCATTCGAATTATTGCTGGCTAAAATTAATCTTAAAGCTGGTCTGCTTTAAACAATGCTTAGAGTATATATTTTTTATATACTCTAAGCATGGTTTTGTTGGGCAACAACCCAATTTATATTTGAAAGAAGATTTCTTCGTTATTTTGAATTTATATTTATAATTAAAATGATTAAAAATAAAATTACAATAATTCTTCCCAAATTTTGAATCAATATTTATAATAGAAATGATTAAATAAACAATAAATTACTATTCTGTGAGATGCTGAATCCGTAGTAAAATTTGTTATTGGAATTAAGAAATTGCGAAAATGTTTAGAGAAAATTTATGCTAATTTTGGGTTGCTAGCCAGAGCTCCACCTGAAACATTAATCAGTTTTTATCAACAATTTATTTATCCAAAATTATCTGAACTTTTGGCAAAGTGAATAAGAATATTATAAATATCATTAATCGATAATAGCTCGCCCCTCTATCCCTACATATTAAAAATATAAAAAGTAAATCTAAATACTTCGCGGACCCGGATCTTTTGCGGAACATAAAGCAGCATTGTTGATAGTATAAACACTATGTATTAATGTCTATTATGTTATGGCATACATTTCTATTTATCCGTAGTACTCTCTTAAAAACCAGGCAATGCTTTCTGATAATGTTAATATAAAATTGCTGCGTTTTTCGTTATTCCCAATTCGTAAAGTTCTTGGTAATCTAAAATAATATTTGATAATTTAATTGATGTTATTAAAATACTCCTAAAAAAAGAAAAAGAAAAAAATATATATATATATAACAAGAACATACTCAATTTGTATAGCATCGATAACATGTTCAGCGTATCGTGAACCATATATTTGTACACAATAACCACCACGAAAATATTTTTCATCTTTAAGTGGGTGTTTATGAATATGTGATGGAATAGTATCATAACCATATGATTGTAAACGACCACCAAGTGAAGTAGTTTTGCCATAAATTAAATCAGCAAATTGGATACTATTCGATTTTCTATTATATAGAGCTTGAATACTTGATCCAGAATAAATCTCAGGATTCTCATTGATTTGTGAGGTTGAATATGAGAGTGTTTCAGCCGAAAGGGTATAACCTATCTCAATAAAATGTTCTGGATGACTATGACCTATAAAAAATCATAATAAAGTTGATAAATTCCCAATAGATGATATACACTATAAAATATTAACATACCATGAATGTCGATTAAAAGTCCATGGCCAAAACTTGTTTCAACATCTTTAATAGCGGTCTTAATAAAATTATGATAATCATTCCAAGCAACCAAAGTTATAGAATCTTTTCCTTCGACACCTTCTTTTATCGATCTGTTGACATCAATTTTACTTCTCCCAAGGTTATTAATGACTAAATAAGGTCTCTTTCCTTTAAAATGTACCATAATTTTATCAGCAAGCTCTCTACCAATATCTTGAGTATTAAGATCATTAGATTTTACAACACTTGGATGACTTTTTTTTCTATCGGGTATTTCAGGAGGAAATAATTGACCACCATGTGGAATTGAAATAATTAAAGGTAAGTGACCAGGAATATATTCGCTATAATTCATGGAACCGAATATTGGTTCAGTTATGTTCATTATAATCTATTTGAGTGTAATCAATCGACACGTAGTTGAAAAAAAATTATCAAGAAATCTACTTAAGGTATAAAGAAATGTAAATAAATAAAAATAAAAATCAATAAAGTAAGAAATTTAGGATTACTATTTTAATGCGCAAAAAAATTTGATTTAGAATTCAAAGAGTAAGTATATTCGGATTTTGGTGCTTAACTATAAATTTTATAATAATAAACATAGAAATAATCTTTAGGAATTATATATTTTGTAATTTTTAATTGAATTTTTAATTGAAGATTTCATTATGTATTAACTATTAAATTTTTTCCATTTCTTTAAAATTGTGAATTTCTTATTTTAAATATAAAAATGAATTATTTGAATTCAATTGCTGAATTGTTTAATTTAGTATTTATGCTTAAAAACGACAATTATTGTAAAAAAAAAAAAAAAAAAAAAAAAAAAGAATAAAATAACCATTTACTGTACTCTACTCTCAAAAATATGTCTGATAAATCACTATATGAAAATGCGAATGCTCATTATAATGAAAAAACTTTCAAGTGGCTTTCAAAGAATTTATTATTTTAAAAGATAAAACAGAATCAATCTACAAAAGTGTAGCAAAATTTATATTGGCTAGATGCTACTACTTTGGATGGGGTGTTGAAAAGAATTCTAAAATGGCATTTAAAATCTACTCAGATCTTTCAGGAAGCAAGTCTGAATTTCAAACTCTTGCTAAGCTTTATTTAGCTTGGTTATATCTTTACGGGGTTGGTGTGGACAAGGATACGAACAATGCCAAAGACCTCTTTTTAGAACTTGTAACTAGTGATGTGACTCGATATTCACTGAATCGAAATTTATTAATAAATCTATTGAATATTCACAGGATTTTATTAATAAATTTCGATTCAGTGAATAACGGGTCACATCTCTACTTGTAACAAGCAAATCAGATCAACGATATTCTGCTAAATTTGGGTTGGCTAAGTATTATCAAACTAATCCTATATACTATAAAATGGCCTTTCAATTGTATTTAGATCTTTCAAAAAGCCAATCAGATCAACAAAATTCTGCTAAATATGAGTTGGCACTTTGCTATGAATTGGGTAAAGGTGTTAAGAAAGATTATGATAATGCATACGAGCTTTATTTAGATCTTTCAAAGAGTGAAGATTATCAGATCAAAGCTTTTCGATGGCTAGCAAATTACTATTTAAAAAAGGATGAAGAAAGATCTTTTAAATATTCTCAAGAAGAGTATAGAAATAGTCTAAATAGACTTGATATAGGCTGAAACATGTAAATAAGATACTACTGTTAATTGAAAGTATAAAAGTGCGGTCTTTTCGCACCTTTAATAAAGTTTTTCGACTTTGATGTCTTGGTTTATTAGGATAAATAAGAATCGATTTCTCACGTAAATTGAAAATTACATTTTACAAATTTACAATACATGTAATTTCATGTAAGTTTCAGTAACATGGATTTCATGTAAATTTCACATGTGATATATAGTGCCGGCACTATGAAAAACTCAGCTAGCATTATTGAACTACAGTAGATCCTGCATAAACAACCCTACTTTCAGGAGATTTAGGAAGAGACGCATCAAAAAAGTCAACTAATTTTTGTCGAAATGCATCAAAAACATAATTTTGGTATCGCTTTGCATAGACACTTAATAATCATCCGCTTCGCTCCGGATCAATAAACTAACTTATCGATTCGTAAAGAAAACACCATATCCTGTAAGAGTCTTAGTGGATTAGGAATTCCATAATTACAGTATATAAACTCTAACACTAACGAAAAATTCTAAGTCTTCAAATCCACTTAGAAAATTTGTGTAACTAAACTAATATCAGACTTCTCGGCCTGGCTCTGTGTTGTGATATGTTTAATTATATATTAATATGATTAATTTCGTTTTTTATACATAGCATTTAGTCCGAAAATCAAAGTTCAGATGACTATAGTTTTAAAATATTTGTTATTCAATTTGACGCGAAGTCTTCCTTAGAAAAAATTCTCAGAGATCAATTTTATTATCTGAATAAAAAGGCCAATATAATTGACTTACTTTTTGTTAGTAAGGGGACGCACTGTAACGATCTAAAGATAATACTATACGGAGTTATCTCTATTTTTATACAATACTTTACTGGTTTAACGTAAATTATGGATGTCCCTAAGAGGATCATGATTGACTTTTATGCGCAGTTCGTTGGTCTACTTTTTCTAACCAAAAAAGGATGCAAATAGCGAACAATTTTGTTATGGGAATGATTGATGTTTTCGGTAATTGTTATTATTTAACCAAAAATTATTAAAGGAAAGGACGAAATCTTAATGTAATCACCAATAGAGTAGAGATGTGATCCGTTATCCGTTTTCCCATTTAAAAATTATGGATATCCGAATATCCGGATTTTTTTTTATAATAATTTTATTATAAAATTGAATTAACGGATATCCGGATCGCATCTCTACAATAGAGGTCCATAATTTACCCGTTAAACTTTACAATTGTGGTAAGAATTAGGAAATATTACTTAAACGATTTCAAGAATCATAAATTTCATTTACGTATGAGGAAAATCCTGAAAGTCATACTCTATTAACAACATTGAATCAGAATCGCATTTATGCTCAATTTTATTGGCGGTAACTTTAAAATCAATTGGAAAATAGCATGGTCATAATTTACGTTAAATCAATAAACCAACAAAGTGTATTGTTATAGAATAAAAATAATACCCAATATTATATATAGTGATTATAGTTAATGACGTATGACGTCTCCTTTCGTATTCAAGTTGTAAATAATAACCCTTGCAGTTAGTACCTTCTACAAGATTTACAAGCTTTACTTATACTTTGTATGTTAGACCAAGATTTCGGATATTTTTAGAGATCTATTATCAAAAAAACTAATAATTGACTAACTTCCTGGGCGATTGAAATCTTGAAATTCATCCATTAGCGATGAGACTCACTAAAAAAATAGTGATACTTAATTGCGCATTTATAATTTGAAAAATATTTTTTCTAAAGGATCATGAGGGATGGCGAAGGCGAATTTTAGTTTTTAAGTTCCTTAGTTTCTTGATGCACGTGACTTAAAAGTTCATTAAGTCGAAAAAAATATTTTCAAAATCCATTCAGATTTCATCCAGTTCTAGCCCACAAATAATGAATACTTCTTCGACTCCAAAGAAATATAAATGCAATATTTGCCAAAAAGGATTCACACGCCTAAGTTCTTTACAAATTCATACCTATAGTCATACTGGAGAGAAACGTAAGTAATGAATTGAATACAATATTGTTAGTAGCGATCTCATGTAATGTACTGTATAGTTCATTCTAATCTCCTTTAAATTTCTTAAACAGCATTCAAATGTCCAGTTGAAGGTTGTGGTCGACACTTTTCAGTTGTCAGTAATCTTCGTCGTCACCAGAAAGTTCACTCTACAGATGCGATCCGGATATATACATTATTCACTAATGCCTTTATTTTTCTTCGCATGCATCAACTGGACTTGTATGGAATCCAAGAGTAATTCTAATATGAGGTTCTTTTAAATTTTGAAATCGAGGGACATAAGGTACTCCATTTGTTCGATCTGTATAAATAAAGATATCTTTCTTTATATGACCCTTTACCAATAGGTTGACTCGACACATAAGAATATGGAAAAGAGGAGGATTCTGATAATGACAAATCAAGTTTTTTGATCATTTTATATCCAAATGAACCTCTTGGCAAAGAACAATATCATATCACTTAGAATTTTGAAAATAATATTCATTTCGGCATGATTATTAAATTTTGTTTTACCAAATTTTTACTAATGTCTGATGAGAATTTTTGTCAATTATTATTTTTAAATAATTTCTTTTTTCTCTTTAGATATTTAATTATTTTCTTTAGTCAATTATTTATTGTATTGTTGTAGAATTTGTAGCCACGGGTTGTAGACATTTGGTGTTTCTACGGGTAGTATTGGTTTTGTTTGAACTTTAGCAATTTTGTTGGTGATTAACTGTTTCATTGTCTAATGGTCAGGATTGTGGTGAATTAATTGATTGTTCATTGTTGGATATGTAAGCTTCTGAGACAGAATCTGACATGAAAAATTATCAACATCGATAGTAATTTGGTTGGCGTTATTGTCGAGGCCGTTTACTAAGATAAACTTTTCAGTTGAATTATGTTAATTTAATATTATAAGGAAGAAATAAAGTTTTATATATCGTAAAAAAATCATAGATTGGTAATTCATCCCAAACTTTAGTTGTTTTCAAATCTAAAAAAACTCGTTTGTTTTCGAATTTGAAGAAACAAAGTTGAGTCGAGATTTTAATGTTCATACGACATGTCAAATCCGAAAAAGCAAGATCAAGGCCGTTAATAAAGCAAAAATTTGACAGATACATAAATTATTACAAACACCTACTGTATATTTATTTACATATTAAAAAATAGTACAAATGAAATTTTTTCGAGCTCAAAAATTTATTTTTGATCTTTTGATATTTATTTTGCAGTTTTTGAATATTATCAACTCAAAAAATTTAACCTAAAATTTCTATGAAAATTTATATCAGAAACAAACCAAAATTAATAATTTGTTTCATAAAAAAAAAACCT